TTACTACTAATAACTATATATATATATATATATATATATATATATATTATTTTTTATTAAAAGGGGTTTGGTGGAGTGGCCCACCCCCGTTAAATGTTTGGATTTTTTGTTACTATTTTTCCAGAATTTATTTAATATTTATAGGGGCCACCAACACCACATAGAGACAGACGGGATCACTCCGTTCCACACTATCCATGGCCCTTATTCTTTTATGGAGCCTTACCCTCCCTTTCTCTTTTCTTTTCCTCGATGGGGGACTTTTCTATCTTAACGCATGCTTTTGCACCAACCATGTATGCCGAGTGGGGCTTCTATTGTGAAAATTTTGACTTGTGTACAACTCAATAGTATAAAATTGCATCCAATTTTCATATACTTGTGAAGATTTCGGGACTATGACGGAAACATTAAAATTTGTCTCTCTCTATATATGGAGAATCAAATAGTAAGATTCAAGAGGCGATGACTATCCTTGATTAGGGGCATGGGATTTAGGCATATTCCCCCTAAGTTTGGAAAATATTTCCTCTTTCAAATGGCGGTTGACCTTTCTATCTTTGCATTTTTCTAACATTTTCATTGAAGAAGGAGAAAATTTAAAATAAATAATTTTTTGTATGCTTTGGCAGTATTGTTGTAAGCTTCATTTTTTCTGAAAAATATTCATATAAGGCCAATAACAATACATTTTGACTTCCACTTCATTGCTCAATTATTTTTAATTTTATGTTTGTGTTTGCAACGGCATTGGGTTTTACTTGAAAATAGAAAACCAATAAAATTGAGAAATAGGTATTTGTGTTCTTCCTTGATACTTATAGACCGCCATAGTTCCTTGGCAAGAGGAGCATAGCCATTTCAATTGCTAAATCCAATTTTCTAAAGAGGAAGTTATATTCCATAGGAATTAAGAGTTTGAAAACCCAAAAAGATTCAATAGTGAACATACGTACATTCAAACAGGAAATGACGTCTCAATATTCACACATTTTTGTTAGATGATGAAAATTCATTATGCACTGCCCCCATTTTTTCTTAAAAATCTAAAAGACATCATTTAGAACAATTTTTAGTATTTTTTTTTTTTAATGCCAGATCTACCCGATCCGGCTGATTCACCGATGCAGATTGCCGATTCGCCGATCTGAACCAGTTTTCCAAATGGACAATCCGGGCCACCAATATGTTTTTTAAGCATTGCTTATGATACTGTACATAAAAGAAAATTCTGTCCTAATCCCCTTCATGGCTTCTCAAATCAATACATGTGGCTTGAGTTAGTGTCATTGGACTAGCAAAGCATTCACTTGTCATCCATTTGGCTCTGAAAACCTACTTTGTTGAACATGGATTTCCATGCATTAGAAGAAAGTAACAGGGTCTGTCTTGTACTCTTTGTAGTTTGAGTGAATCTCATTACCGTCTTCATTTAGAAAACTTACTTTTGTTTGGTGCTGATGACTTAATGCGTGCAGGATTTTATCTTTTGGCAAAGTTTGAAGCTGCTGCAGATAGAAAAATCTACAGTGCAAATCGTTACATAATTAGTGGCCATTCCTTGGAGCACTTGTGTCTAGTGATGGTTCCTATATTTCTCACTGTTATGCTTTTGTCCAGAAATATTAAGATAGGAAGGTAACTTATACCCTTACCACTGGCACTATTTTGTGTTGTAAATTTTGTATACGGTGTTCTCTTGATGCTGTGTAAAGGCTGGATCCTACCATGGTGATGGATATACACATGGTAAAATATTGCATGTCTGAAAGTTGACGACATAAATATGCTATGGTGGTTACTGCATCTGAACCTTAACTGCAGGTTTTAATACGTTAGCCGCATAGAAGGGAAATAAAAACAGAAACCTAGTTTATACACTATTCTGTGTTTTTTTTTGGGGCCTGTTAATGATACATTTATTGATAAAAATACTTGAATTGCAATATGGATATTTGTCTTGGTCAATGTTATGCCATATTCTGCAATCTAAGGTCTGCCCAAAAATAGGTTCTAGGGTGAGAGCGTTTTATTGGAGCTCAAGTCAATTATTGACTTTTGCGTCAAATATACGTTGGGGGTGTTAAAGCGATACTAATGCTTGTGCCGCTTGTGCGATTCTTTTGAGAAATCTGCCAGCTTTGTACTTTCCATGCAACTGGCTTTTATGACCATGGCCTCTCACAAAAGTTTGAAATCATGCTAAAAGCATTACATATTTATTGTCATCTCCTTCAAGATGCACATCTCATATCCCAACATGTATTTCTCTGAACTCAGATACGAGGCCGGTAAAATCATTGTCTTCAATAATGAGTTAAAGTCCATTCAAAGTTGATGTTTAATGTCTGCGGCTTTCATTGGTTTGTGTAAAAATGCGCGAGTATGAGATTGTAAATGACAAAAATGTAGACTTGGGCTTAATAAAAGAATAACCATAAAGCTATAGGTTGGCTGGCTTAAAATGCTTGTTATTCTCTGAAGTTTAGAGGAAATTAGGGTTTCTTGATTCCTTAGTGAGTTGGAAATCCGAAGAAAATTTTCTCTGTGAGGTCCACCTCAAGGAACTTGTGCCCATGAATTTAGGGAAGCTATGCTACCTTCAAAAGTAATTTCTGCATGCATTAGGCAAAGATCTTGGCTGGACGAAAACATTGAAATAGAAGATGAGTCAAAGAGAGAAGACCTCCCCCACTGTTATCCATCCCGTCACACATCCCAACCCCACAGCTCCCCATCCAATATTGGTCTGCCATCTCGCTCTCCCAGCAACCATCATCCCACCTCTCCCCAGACCAAAGTGGAGGATGTTCCCCGCTTTCAATCTCTACTCTTTCTATACTCAGTTCATCTCTGCACGAAAAACCTAAAGGGAGGTAGTTCTCAAACTTGAGTTACTCAAATATGCTCGCAAATAATGGAGCATCCAACTCCCTGGTAATTTTCGAGCTCACAAGGAGGCGTTGCTGAGCTCCATCCAACTGTGGTTTATCGAAGAATCCAGGTCCCTTTCCCCTTTGGAGCTCCAGGCTTGCGCCCAAGCTAGATTGGACTACCACCACCTCTAGAAGAAAGAGGAAATCTATAGGGCCCAAATGTCCAGAATCAAGTGGCTCAAACAGGGGGACTTCAACACCGTCTTCTTTCACAGAAATGCCCTCTATAGAAGATGGGAAACCTCTGTCTCTCATATCAAGGTCAGCAACTCCATAATTGACCAACCCCCCCTGTTGAACAAGTGGTGGTAGACTTCTCCCACCTCTTTTCTTCACCTGGTCCAAAATCCTTGATGCACGACCTCACTTTACTTAACTCTCTCGGCTGATAGAGCAGCTTCTCTGGAGCGTCCATTTGAGGAGGTCAAAATTTACGAGGCCATCACCAACCTTCGCCAAGATACAGCCCCAGGCCCTAACGATTACTCACTTGCCATCTTCAAATCTTTCTGGGAGACTCTTAAACCTGATGTCCTACAGTTCTTTGCTGAATTTCACTCTCGGGGGGTAGTTAATAATAAGTATATGAATGCCACCTTCCTTGCCTTGATCCCGAAATACGAAGGTGCCGAGGAACTTTAAGATTTCAGACCCATTAGTCTCATTAACAACTCCTATAAGATCCTATCCAAAGTCCTGGCCACCAGGCTTAAAGAAGTTCTTGGTTGGGTTATCTCCCCTACCCAAGGTACCTTCGTTAAGGATAGGCAAATCTTCGATGGAACCCTTGTCGCCTATGAGTGTATTCACTCTCGCACTCAGTCCAAAACCCCAGGTCTAGTCATCAAACTGGACTGGGAAAAGGTTTATGGTCTTGTTAGTTAGGATATTCTTGATGAGACCCAACGGAGGATGGGTTTCGGACCCATTGGAGACTTTGAATGAGCGGTTGTATCTCTAATCCCCATTTCTCAGTCCTTAGGGATTTTTTCCCCACCTCTCGAGGCCTTCATCAAGGCAACCCCCTTTCACCCTTTCTCTTTGCCATGGTGGCCGAGGTCTTTGGTAGGGCCATCACTAGATTCTACCTTAATGGCTACCTCCACGACTTTCAATCCTCTTCCCGTGGCCTGATTATCTCCCATCTGTAGTACGTAGATGATAATATCCTTTTTTGTGATGCCACACAGTAACAAGTCGACTATCTCTAAACACTTGAGTATCTACCAAACAACTTGACAAAACATGAAAACTACAATTGGCTACCCTAATACAGCAGATTTAGAGTTCAAAATCATATGCAACCACATACTTCAAACAGAGGCTTGAGAAGTGCTGTTAAGAACCTCTCATGTTTAACTAAGGAAAACAATGAGCAAAATGCTTCTAAAATCTAACACCAGACATTCCACCACGCAAAAAAGAAAAAAAGAAAAAAAAACCTTTATGAAAAGTAGTCAACAATAAATAATTAGGAACTTTAAATGCATAAAATGCGATTAAATACAGCACATGTGTATGGACTATATTCTCACAGTCATCAAAAACCAAATACTTCAACCAGAGGCTGGAGAAATAAGGTAAATAAAAGCTCATGTTTAATTTAAAAAAAGTTGCACAAAGTACTACTCTATCTAAACTGAAGCATTCAACTGTAAGCAAAAAATCCTCAAAACTAGCCACATAAATCAGATTCCATTGCAAGGCAACATTTTAACATACGATTTTAAGCAATTTTGGGATTTGCAATTCAACATACGGATAAAACGACCCCCATAGGTAAGGTGTGATGATGTGGTTCCTAGGCGACATCCACTGGAGGGACAGGAGGGAGAATCTGAAGGAAAAAATTGTTAGGGGTTCACCCTAAGGCATGGGAAAAAAAAGAAGAAGCATCAAATAACCAAAATCTCAAAACAATGGCACTACCCCCAAGAAAAGAGAAAAAAGAAAACAGTGATGATAGAAATGAAAATCCAACTTAGCAAGGAGAAAACAACAAAAACATTGAAAGCAAACATACTAGATGCGCAAAGGAGAGAGATCAGAGTGAGATAGGGATGAGAGAGAAGATGAAAGAGAGGGGATGAAAGAGAAGATGAAAGAAGAAGATTACCTGGTTGCAGACGCGAGAGAGAAGAAGGCCTTGCTAGGGCTTGCGAGTTGGGAGATGGGAGCTTGGAGGTAGGGGCGAGACGACTAGGATTGCGAGTTGCGAGCTTGGAGGCAGGGGGTGAGACGACTAGGGCTGAGATGGGAGAGAGGAAAGTATCGGGGACTTGGGCACAAAACTTTCTCAAATACAAAGTTCCTGGCTTAGCCATGGAACAAAAAATTTCTTTTTTTTTTAGAATGAAAAATGGGAAAGTTGAGGAAAAAAAAACCTTCCAATAAGTTCTGGACACTGTAGCACTTGTGGATCAAACACGGTACCATATAGACAATCTTACAAGGATAAAAATCAGTAGTTTTCCATGTGCTGATTTCTATCTTTCACGAAATCGATCCCCCTTGACTCTACAAGAATATGTGAAGCTGAGCATGCCTGGAAGTACGGGAGCACGTTCTTTTGCTGTTATATTCCTCTTGCCTCTCATTCGATCAAAACCTATTTATCCGTATAGAGAGACACCCTTGGGTCGATGGGGTTCCCCTTTGCCTCATTGGAATAATATAATATGTATTTCAGGGGCAGTATGCGAAAACCTCGACCATAAATCTCGTCTTCTCTACTTCGTTCATCTCTTTCTCACAGCCCATGATTGCATCGACAACTAGTTTCTTTCTCTCTGTATTCCACTAGCCGTAATGGGGGGAAGATTGGGATTGAGAAGGCTTTATTTTGTTATTGCATGTTCTTTAGCCTTAAAAGCTAGGGAAAAGACTTGATGATAATTAAGCATCGTCTCTTGCTTGAGGCCTTCGTCCCATCTCTTTTCTCCATGTCCATGTCCTAGTCATAGAAATTCTTTTAAGCCTCTGTCATCTAGCTCCTTCCTGCTAAAGGTTGCTTTCATGTCAAACTCTTGGAAGAAGGTTGTTACTTTTATAAGCATTTGCCAATGCAGATTTCTAAAATAACCAGGCAATGACAAATCCAATATAGAAACTTGAAATGTTTTTTGGATTTAGAGTTGCATCTCATTAGATTAAGAAATTTTCGACAGTTTGACGGTGTTAGGAACTTCTTTGTTTTGGAGAAGAACGTACATGAAGTGCTACAGTATCAAGAACTTATTGGAAGGTTTTTTTCCCTCAACTTTCCTATTTTTCATTTTAAGAAAAAAGAACTTTTTTGTTCCATGGCTAAGCCAGGAACTTGTATTTGTGAACTTATTTGTGCCCAAATCCCCGATACTTTTCCTCTCTCCCATCTCAGCCCTAGCCATCTCGCCACTGCCTCCAAGCTCTCAACTCGCAGCCCTAGCCATCTCGCCCCGGCCTTACTGCTCGCAAGCCCTAGCATGGCCTTCTTCTCTCTCGTGTATGCAACCAGGTAACCTTCTTCTCTCAACTTCTCTTTCATCCCCTCTCCATCTTCTCTCTCATCCCTGTCTCCCTCTGATCGCTCTACTCTGCAACCTTTCTCTCCTCTGCGCATCTTGTATTTTTGCTTTCAATGTTTTTGGTTTTTTTTACTTGTGAAGTTGAGTTTTCGTTTCTATCATCAATGTTTTCTTTTTTTTTTTTTTTCTGGGGAGCGGTGTCATTGTTTTGGGATTTTGGTTATTTGATGCTTTTTTTTTTTTTCTTTTTTTCACTCATTAGGGTGACCCCGTAATTTTTTCCTTCAGATTCTCCCTCCTGTTCCTCCGGTAGTTGTCACCTTGGAACCACATCATCGCACATTGCTTGTGGGGGTCGTTTTATCTGTAAGTTGAAATGCAAATCCGAAAATTGCTTAATATCGTATGTTAAAATGTTGTCTTGCAATGGAATCTGATTTATGTGGCTAATTTTGGGGATTTTTTGCTTACAGTTGAATGCTTCAGTTTAGATAGAGTAGTACTTTGTGCATCTTTTTTTTAATTAAACACGAGTTTAGATAAAGCCTTTGGTTGCAGATTACTGTGAAACTCTAAATCTGTTGTATTAGGGTAGCAATCGTAGTTTGCATAGTTAATAATTGTGATTGAATGACAAGGCTTTCAGGAAAATGTCTGCTCCTAGTGATGGTTTTACCTTAGATCTAATCTTCTTTAGTTTCTAGCATTTCAATTTGTGGCTTCAAAATATTTCTCTTGTTCAAGGTTCTTTTACGAGACCATTGAGAAACATCATGTTTTATAATTCTAAGATTTGATCCATACGAAAAGGCACAATATTACTGATTCTTCTTTCCTTTTCTTTTATCTTTTTTGTTGAGCTGTTTCAGGTTTTGTCAATTTGTTTGGAAGATACTAGAGTTTTTGACTAACAATTGAGTGCATAAAGATTTTCACTACGATGCTAGTAATTGAGTCTCTGGTCCATTTTATGTTGTTGTAACACTGAATAAACGGACATGTGAATTCTTATACTGCTAACATATCAAAACAAAAACGGACATGTGAAATCTTATACTGCACATGTTTTGAAATATTACCTGATTAGTTAAAGAAATATTACTTGAGTAGTTGTTGTGCCTGTTGTGGCAATATGTGACCTACTTCCAACAAATGTTTCTCTATAATTATTTCCTTCATACATGACATATTTGTCCTTCATACATTTCAGCAGGTAATCAAACACAAGTACCCAGAACTTAACATTCCAGCAGGTTATCAAATACCGTACCCAGAACTTATTTAATCCTTCCAGAACAAAACCTTCCACTTCCCAGCAAAGAAAAACTTATTTTTTCCAGGGAACGTTTATCTTGTAGCAAACAAACGTCCCTGAAAAGTATCTGGGACTTGGGCACAAATACGTTCCCAAATACAACTTCCTGGTTTAGCCATGGAACCAAAAAGTTCATTTTTTAAAATGACAAATAGGAAAGTTGAGGAAAAAAAAAACTTCTAATAAGTTCTGGACGTTGTAGAGCTTCCTGTCTGTCAAACACGGGATTGCTGTTGTGTTATTGACTTGTAATGGAGAAATAAGTTCCCCCAAACAAACGCGCCCTTAGAGGAGGTAGCTTCAGTATCACAGCGGGGGCATAACCATAGAGAGAGTTGGCCTTTTGCAATAACTGCTATTTTATTGTGATTTATTCATGGGTTAGAAAGCCATGAGGCTTTCACAAGGTTTGATGCAGAATCCTACATGAGGGCAGCATCCTTTACTCCTTTCATTTCGCGGCCGAGGTCTAGACAGTGCTGAAGATGTCAGTGCCAATGTTCCATGGGGCAAAGCTCCAGCTGGGGCATTGGTCACCTCTTTTAGGAGCTTAGAAAACCGCAAGTCTTGGATCAAGGCCCATGATATTCTGCTCCATGCTTGGAATTGAATCATGATGTTTTCAAAGTGATTGGTGATATTTGTAGCGGGTCTTATAAAAGTAACCTGGATTTCATTTGGCATACTCCATCTGGGCCCTCCAGATCTTGGTGGTTATATCAACAATACATTTACCTTTGATTATTGCTCAAATGAAGTTTTTGTTCCACGTAGAACAAGAGCAGGGTACCCCAAATCTGGAGACTGTGTTCTTTCTCGCCATATTCTCCTTCATTTTCTCAAAGGGATGCCATAGATCAGGATCTGAGGGCTGGCAGATTGTCGTACACCGGAAAAATCGTAGGTAGATGAAGAGTTGCCTGAAGAATCAGACAAATCATAACCCCAGGGCTGGTCGAACTAGGCGGAAGAGAAGAACGACCTAGTCCACCATGTAGGACTAAACAAAGGCTGACATGTTATCTGTATTGGCTACTTGTCAGTCTTCCCCTCTACAAATTTCAAAATCTATTCCAAGCCTGAAATTGAGTTCGAATTGTTTCAAATTCAAAACCCTATCCCATACTGGCCCTACCAAGGATCAATCCTCACTGTCCTTCCTCTATTGTCAATGGACCTTAATGCTCATGTTCATATGTTAGCCTGCCTTACATGTCCAATCCCTGTTCGGTTTGAATCTCCCTCTTCAACCCTAGTTTCATCCCATTTGTTAATCTCCCCTAATTTGAATACAACAACCGGGATTGCATACTCAACTTGCCAGTTTTTTATCTGTCACTTCAAGCATACACACAAACTCTCCAGCTGTAGCCACTGCTCACCGGGTGTTGTCCTTCACCTCTCCTTCCCCTACTCTCAATCTAGAGTCTGGACCCTCACAATTTAAAATTCAAATTCTGATCCAATTGTCAACTGTCTTACCATGTCTCCCCCATATCAATGTAGCCCTCCTCTCCACACCTAGCTGATGAATACATTACAGCCTTGATTTCCTGGTCATACTGATCCCAATGTAGCACCATCACTGACTTAGTGGGCACAGGCCAGATCACCCCATGTGTTCACTTCTATTAGGTCTCAGCACTCACTCAGCGACAACTAACCCAGGTTATCCTGTGTATCTAAAGGTAGGGAACCCTAATCCAGCTCGTGTTCCCATCGTGAGATGGTCTATTGTTGACCCAATGTTTAAAGGTCCAGATGGCCCAATTGTTCCTTAACAGCAAACCCAGTACCAAAACCATTGTTGCGTGGAATGTCACTTGCCGCATCAGGCCAGCTAGGATGGATGTACGGGGAGCATCCCCCATATTCTTGAGTGCCCCTTGTGCCCAGAAACATTAAACTCATGCCCTATCTATCAGCTCCTATCATTGGGCGTCTTCATCACTGACTTGATGACTGGCCGAATGGTTTCACAAGATATGCTACAAATAACCAATGCTCCAGACCGCATGATACCGATGGGCTATCTGCCCCTGCTGAAAATCATAAACAAATGGACAGCCTCAATCCATCCACGAAGATGGGCAGCCATCCACTGGCCTAGAGAGGAAGACACGATTTTTTTAAGGCCACTTTACCCACCTGAAGGTTCCCATTGGATGGAACAATCATGATCCTCCACCTGTTTGGTACCGATGCTTCGAACCCTTTGGTCCAAATATGCAACCGCCTCTGGCCCATAGTTGTTGGGTACGGGAATGGGAATGGTTCCTGGATCGGGGGTGGGATCGGTAGATCGAAACTATACGGAAGATCCCTGTGTTAGGGATCGTTGCCCGTACAGCCTCAAAGGTCGGGATCGAGGTCCATACGTATTGGGGATCGAGCTCCTTTATTACATAGGATCGAGAATTATAATATGAAGGTGTGAAATCCTATACGCAAGAAACAAAGTTCCCAAGGGCATTTTTTTGAGTTTTTTAACTCAAGGAGCGCATTAGTAAAAGTGATCCAACATATTATGGAGCGAGGAATAACTTTTATAGGAGCGAGTTCCTTTTTCTTAGAACACAAGTTCCTCGTGTAGGTGATAAGGATCTATGCTTTAAAATATAGCTCTCGGCATTGTTAACCAATAACATGTTGGCTTAGTCTTCTATGAAATAAATAAGGAACTTTAAAGAGATCCCATATTGGTGGGATCTGGATGCCAAATATGGCGATGCTTGTGTTCTGTTATTTGGAATCTAGATCCTACTGCGCTCTGGAGCGCAAACCATAAGATTAGGGAACAAGATCTTGTAGTGTTTAGGAACGCGAAATATATTTTCAGATGGAGCAAGATCCCGAAAACACTAAATTGAGTTTCAGACGAGATCTGCCCTGAGATTGAGAGAATCGAGGTTCTGCAAGGGATCGCCAAGCAAGGAAGGCGATCCCGGTAACCATGCTCTGTCCTATTTCTCCTTCTTCATCACCTGTTTCTTATCTCTGTCCTTAAAAATTTGTATAAGAGCCCAATGCTCATCTCTTCCAGCTCTCAGGCCTGCACCCTCCCCCCTCCCTTTCCAAGGTCCTGCGCCGATCTACTTTTGAAGTCTCTCTAGTATGGGAGCACCATTTTCTCACCTACTGCAGCCCCTGTACCTGCAATTTACGATGTATTCCAGACCAAAATCCTTGGTTAGATCTTAGTGAACACACTTCCCTCGTCTTTCTAATAACGCAAATTATCCAGTCTATTCTACACTAAATAATGATACTAAAGACTTCTTGATCAGAACTGCTCTTAATAGGACTTTTCCACACTCCAAGTCAGGCACTCCTCGGCAGGTCATCTGCCCTTAGTGAAAATCACTAAGTAGTTAACTGCTCAAATCTATCCATGAAGACACGCAACCCTCCACTAGCCCAGAGAGAAAGATAAGGTTCCCTGTTGGACGAAACAATGATGACCATCCACCTGGTTGGGAGTGATGCTCTCGAGCCGCTGGTCCAAATATGTGACCCCTTTTGTCACCTGTTTCTTCTGTCCTTCTTCCTCAAGTTTCATCTAAGAGTTCCTTGCCCATCTCTATCAATCTTTCTGGCCTTTCCTTCCCATATGAGGGCATCATATACTCTCCTCATGCAGCTGCTGTGCCTGCAATTTATGGTCTATTTCAAACCAAAATCTTTATTTGTTAGGTTTTAGTGAAAACGTCTTGCCTCTTCGAGTTGCTCTAATTATCTTGCCTCTTCGAATTGCTCTAATTATCTTGCCTCTTCCACAATATATAATGATACTGGAGAACCCACAAACTCGAGCCTTCTTATATGCCTTTCCCCAAACCCACCAACCAAAGAAAAGGAGTAATCAAGCTATCATACCCTGTCCTTCCTTGGCCACCCAAAGGTTCTCTTCAGAGCCCTTATGTTCACCACCAATTGTTGCCCCCCTCAACATCCCAAGTCAGGCCCTCCCTTACTTCAAGTCCTCACCCATGCGAGGACTTTGACTTGACCCTGTACTTTTTATCTTCCCTTCCACCTAAAATGACCCTTG